TCTGGATAAGCTGGGCTCGTCGACTTTGTACATGAGATTAAATCTTTCCGATGACATCATATAGGTCGATCACTGGACCAGCCTAACACGAACCACATGCTCATGTACCCTTAGGGAATCTGTCCATTGAAACCCTTGATGATTTACTTTGAATCATGCTGCTAAAGCTCCTCGCCTCGCAGCCGGAATACTTACGCTCTGATGCACTCAAGATCCAAGTAATAGCACTTTGATCAAAGCATTAACATCAAGTTGCCTCTAAACAACGATCAGATCAATAGATAGATAGATAGATAGATAGATATGAACATACATTGTCACAGATAGATAGATATGAACAGACTTTGTCACAGATAGATAGATAGATAGATAGATATGAACATTGCGCCATAGATATGAACAGAATGCGTCAGAGATAGATAGATAGATATATAGATAAATATATAGATAGATATGAACAGATTGCGTCAGAGATAGATAGATAGATAGATATGAACAGAATGCGTCATAGATAGATAGATAGATAGATAGATATGAACATTACGTCAGAGATAGATAGATATGAACAGAATGCGTCAGAGATAGATAGATAGATAGATAGATAGATAGATAGATATGAATATTACGTCAGAGATAGATAGATATGAACAGAATGCGTCATAGATAGATAGATAGATAGATAGATAGATAGATAGATATGAACAGACTGCGTCATAGATAGATAGATAGATATGAACAGACTGCGTCATAGATAGATAGATAGATAGATAGATATGAACATTGCGTCAGAGATAGATAGATAGATAGATATGAACAGATTGCGTCAGAGATAGATAGATAGATAGATAGATATGAACATTGCGTCAGAGATAGATAAATATGAACAGAATGCGTCAGAGATAGATAGATAGATAGATAGATAGATAGATAGATAGATAACTATGAACAGAATGTGTCAGAGATAGATAGATAGATAGATAACTATGAACAGAATGTGTCAGAGATAGATAGATAGATAGATAGATAGATAGATATGAACAGTCTGCGTCACAGATAGATAAACATATAAATAGATATGAAATGACATAGATAATTATATGTTTATTTGGGTAAAGCATTTTTACAGATACAAACGCGAGTACACTAGTAAGCCTGTAGCATAACCCGTAGTTATAGCATGAATTTCGATCAGAAATGTTCACTGTATAATATTCACGCTATATGGTTAATATTCACCTCTGAATTAAGTGCACTAACATAGATCATGCATTAGAATAAATATGTGGTGTGTAAAATCAATCTTATTGCTTTTCAACCTCTCAATAACGTACCTCTATAAATACCTAGGGAGTGAAAGTGAATGAAACTGTGAAGATTTAAAATGGGGGGGGGGGCGTGAGGAAGGGGCAAAACGGAATAGGCTTCAAGAAGACGGAAGATGACGATTGACGTTGCATTTAAATTTTAAAGCGGAACAATACCAAGCGGTATTGGGTAATGGTTAACCGGGTTAGCGTTGTTGGCCTTTCTTCGTTTATGTCATGTATCCCTTCAACCCGTGGGCGATTATGTCTCTCCACGACTTCCTATCCTTTGTAGCTGTTGGTCCTCTTAACATCCCTCCTAGAATCTGTTCTGTCATCTATTTACAAAAGATTGTTGGCTAAGTTTACTCACCATTCCCCTCTGTGCCTTTTGAAACGGTGTGGACGCTATTACACTTTCGCCTACACCCCCCAAAAAAAGTGTGAAAACACAACTAAATAAATTTATAAAACGAAAAGAAACTTATTTTTTAAAACAGTTTTTTTTTCTTTTTAAGTTTAACTTCATAAAATTAATTAAGAATAACAACAGTTGGACTGTTGCAATTATTACTAGTTAAATTTAATTTATACGAGGCTGGCATCCCCCGCTCTCACCCCTTCACTGTTGAAACTATTAAATGTAGCCGTCTCTTCTACTCCAATAGCTTCATATCTCGCACCTCTCGCCTGTGGAATTCCCTTCCCTATTCCTGTTTCCTTGAGAGCTATAATCTCCAACTATTCAAATGTAATGTCAATCGACATCTCCAGTTGCCTTGATCTATCCACTATCCTTCTCCTCATCCTTTCCTCTATCACTCCTATCTGAACTTGCTCCAAATCTTTTGTAATCCCTTGCGTCCTAGTGGCTTCCCGCCTTGCTTGGGGTGAAAAGCTTAAAAAAAAATTACAAAAAAAAAAAACACTAGCAATGGTTTTAAAAAGTTTCAGTGTCTGTTATGCTGTGGCAAATAATTTTTTTTTTTCTTCCACCGAATGAGTTCGAATCGCTCGTCGCCACTTGTTATGGTCCGGTTCCTTGTACCACAGTGATAGTCCAAGGTAGAACCAATAAAGAAGAACTCGAACACGGATATGGAATAACACAGATATATTACAAACAGGAATATATACAGAGAAATAGAAAGTGTTAGTACGAACAATTAGGTTTAGTAGTAATTGTCTGAACGCGACTCTGTTTCAGACTGCCTCTGACTCGATTGACTGACTCGCTCTGACTGACTGACGGACTTCACTTCAGACTTCAGACTAAACAGTATTTAGTCACCCCCCCCACGAGGGCATCATGTGGCACAAGGCCGGTTTAACGTGGAATCTCCGAGCCCGTGGGATCTCCGAGCCCGTGGGATCTCTGAGCCCGTGGGCTCGGCCAAAAATATGCCCTTTGAACCCGTATAAACGGGTTCAGGGTCGGTTTACCTCCCCGAAAGAGACTCCACCCTTCGGCGTAGCCTCGTTCGGGTTCTTCCCCGCCCGAAGGCAGAGAGTTCAACCGAACACCCGGTCAGCCGGTCGCCCGACTTCGGACTAAACTCCCTGCTTCTTCTTGAGACGCAGTATTTATTACGTATGGAATAGTCCGTTATGTTATTATGGGTAAGGTCCCATAACAGTGTCAAAAGTTTCTAAAAGGAAAGTCAGAAAGATAACGAAATATATTATTTAAAATTAAAATCCGCAAGTTATGAAACAAGACAAAAATGGGAAATCTATATCGTAAACTAAAAGAGAACTGAAGACAAAAAAACATCGTTTGGTTGAGCGTGTCATGACGAGGGCGAAAGTGCAATAGATCCGCGTTATCTCTGTCATTTGGTACAGTTCTTTGTGTTGTCATTCCGTAGCACCAGTCTACAATGTTCAAAGCAGGATGATCTTTGTCAAGATTCTTAGGCTTTACTCATTCAAAACCCCTTTTTTTCATCATTGATCTTAGGAAGCGGTTGTATACAGCTTCTTTTTTTTTTAAAGCGTTTCACCCCAAGCAAGGCGGAAAGTCACTTGGACGCAAGGAGTTACAGCGACTGTAGACGAGATGCCAGAACAGGGCCAATTATATTGCATATCTGCCTCTGGATCTTATCAAGAACCCCGAGGCAAACAGAAGGGGCTCCAGACCGTATATGGCAGCAATACTCCATGCAAGGGCGAATTGTTGATTTGTAGATCTGAAGGATCGATTCCGGGGAGAAAAATTTCCTGGCGCGGCACAGGGAGCCACCTTTCCTTGCGGTGGACGAAGCAATTGACATTGTATTTGTTCCTTCTCGGGTCAGTAGGCAACGTGAGACCGAGCAGCCGCAGAGAGGTGCTCTCGAGAAGTTGAGCGTCAGACATTCTAATGAAGGGCAGGGAAGGATCTCTGTGGTGTAAAATATTTTTGAACTGCTTTGGGGCCATGTGTGACATCCATATGAAAGCCTCAATCTGACGAAGCTATTTAAGAACATGACTCAAGTTTTCAGGTTGATGTTTTGGTTTCGTAGCAACTTGCGGTGTTGGGCAAAACTACCTCTAGCCCAACCAATTCTATGTTCAATTTCCTTTTCTCTTATACTTAAGTTGTTATAAATGATCCATACGCCAATGTATCTGAAGAGTTTCATATTCACTAATCCCATATCTTGAATTTTTATGATTGATTCTGGATCGGTGACACTACTGCATTCGTTCTAATTCCAGAGGGTAGTTTATGTTATGGAAAGGTTTATCTTAAGCCCTATTTCTTGGAACAACAGAGAATGTTGATTTTCTATTTAAGAACATTCTCATCGCAACTATCAACACCTATTTCATTCGTATAGTTCCATCGCATCATTAATACATTGGCCTCGGGTGTTAAAGAAGGATCGTTGTTTAAATTCATAGACTCGTTTGGGATGCGATATGGAATGTTTAAGTGGCCTGTGCCCATTTGAAATAGACTGGTGCTCTTATTTCCTTCTTGTCGTACTCCTGGTGAGGTCTGAAATGTTTTGAAATTGGGTCCCTCCTCATGTAAAATTCTGCAGGTCGATACTGGTCGTCTATTAGTTCGATGCATTCAGTGGATTCGGAGCTTGGATGGCGATTGAATGAGAAGAGGAAGTCCAGATCGATATGGTCATATGATGCTGTGAGTTTAACAAAGAAGGTATACAGTTTCCTCTTAGAGAGGTAATCAGTTTAGAGTTGTTTGATGACATAGATAGATAGATAGATAGATAGATAGATAGATAGATAAGCATGTCAGTACATATAGATAGATATGAACAAAAAGAAATAAATAAATAACAACTGACTGAGATAGATAGATAGATAGATAGATAGATAGATAGATAGATAGATAGATAAGCATGTAAGTACATCTTGATTGATATGAACAGACTGAAATAAATAGATAGGAACTGACTAAGATAGATAGATAGATAGATAGCATATGAACAAAATTGATATGAATAAACTGAAATAAAGAGATAGCAACTGACTGAGATAGATAGATAGATAGATAGATATGAACAAACTGAGATAGAAATATATAAACGATTGTGTTTTTCCATTGGTTATTGATGATACTGAGATGTAAGAAGCTTGCTTAATCCGTTTTTTCGTATTGCACACTGTACTTTTTAAGTGACCACAATATATACATCATGATTTGTATTGGATCATTGAAGTCGGCTGGGGTTAATTAGTACAGACTCATTTATAACACGTCGCCTTCAAAACGCAATTTCTTTCTGTTAGTCACGAATCTGGGGAAGTTCCAATGGTAATAGTCGGATCAATATCGTTGATCTATTTAGATTCCGAAGTAGAACCACAATTAATTTTGCCCTCGCTTCAAATAATACTATTATACAGGTATAACACTATTGAATCATTCAAATTATGGCATCCATTGGTCTCGAGAGACCATAGATCTGCACCCAAAACGTTGTGCCTCAGTTGTCCACACGGGAGTGACAGTCTCGATTGCAACAGATGCATATGAAGACGCTCTCACCAGATGTCGCCATGTTGTTTTCAATCCTTCGAGCACGGTTCACCCCGACGTCAAGCTTTCGTTTCTTCTCTCTTTGCTTCCAATCCTCGGTGTAAATCGAGTCTCCAGCGTGAGCGACGTCTTCCCAAACCCACGATGTCTATGTCCATCGCCCTCGTGTCACTTTTACAGACGTCCTCGAAGCAAAGATGAGGCTTCCTTCGTGCGTTCTGGTCGGTGGCCAGTTTCCCATCCAGGAAAGTCTTTGGAATCCTCCCATCAGTAGACTGTTGGCTTCCCGTGCTTTGCCGTCGCGATGAGGCGACGCTGGAGGGCATTCTCCAGGGCGTATGCCTAGGCAGGGTTTTTATGAGAGATCGGCGGTTTCCCATGCAGCACGTCTCCTCTCTCTCCCCATGCCAAGGATGTTGTCCAAGAAAAAGGTAGATTCCAATACAGCATGGCACCGACGTCGTCGCAGAAGTTGCCAGAACGAATTTGTACATCAGATGTCTTAAAGACTCCAGATCTGGATTTCTCCTCAAGGTTTACTCCCGAAGCCTTTCTCATGACAGTTCAGTGGAAGTTTAGACCCAGTTTTTCTTCTCTTAGATGGAATTCCCTCCAGAACTGATGAGTTCCATCTACCCAATATATATATATGTGTGTGTGTGTGTGTGTGTGTGTGTGTGTGTGTGTGTGTGTAAAATATTTCCAGATGGATTGTATATGTAAAGGAACGAAGGGAATAAAGAGACAAGAGGAAAAACTGCACTTCTCCGACGCGTTTTGTCCTCTGAGGCACTTTATCATTTTGTTGCACATGATTATATACAAGAGCAAGGATGTCATTGATTTATCAAGGTTTTTAGTTCTGAGAAAGTTCATGAATATTCATCAGGTGGTTGAAAGACCAGTCAAAACAAGTCGAGGACAACAAGTGCTGTAATTCAAAGTCTGCTGGGACAAAAGTAAGCGAGTTATATTCAAGAATATATCTTTTATTGTTGTAGTGGAACACACCTATTCTATAGTTAATAGACTCTCCCACCTATAATAAGTAGGAGTAGTAGCAGTCCAGAGTCGGCAGTGAGTCGCTCAGTGAGTTGGTCAGTCAGTCGATTCGGACGACTGTTAGTCGGATATTAAAGTATCAGTGACCACAATTAGATTACTGCGTCATTACCTGTTATATTAAGTTCTTACCGTTTTGTACGTCGAACCTATTTTAGGACCGACTTAGTACAAATACAAGCCTCCACTGTGAAACCACTACATAACATTTATATAAACACGCTCAACAAAATAAGTTCTTACATATGTCTTGATATCTCTCAGAGGACAAAACGCGTTGGCTATGGATAGTTTTTCTTTTTGTCTTTTCTATTCACACACACACACACACACACATACAACACACACACACACACATATATATATATATATATATGAGGTCTCACACTTATATACACACCCATACAAATATATACACTTACACACATTATACACGCTCCTGAAGAACTAAATGATAACATACAATTAACACAGACACATCCCCTTCCTAAAAACCAATAAAACTGTCAAAATGACCAAAGGAATTCAGAGTAGCATGAATGCATCTAGTCTCTATCATAAAAAGCAAATTAAAAGAGGCCGTTTGACCAACACAAGGACTGCAATGTCCAAAGTTAATGATATAAAAAAAAACAAATGAAAACTACAGATAAAGTTAATTTTCTTCAGAAATGTATTCATTCCTGTAGTTCACTGCTACAAACAAGCAGAATTTTTTTTCTCCTGATGATGACCATGCTGGCCGAAACTAGGTGAGGAATCTTATTGAAATAAAACAAAATATATATTAATATACAACCCAGTGTGTCTGAAAGTTTTAATTTTTTAATTTCTCAATATTTTTATTGTTCAAAACACACACACACACACACACACACACACACACACACATACATATATATATATATATATATATATATATATAGGAAAAAAATATGAATTCATAGACAAAAATTATTAGAATTAATACTTAGGATATATAGGAACTGACTGAGATAGATAGATAGATAGATAGATAGATAATAGATAGATAAGCATGTAAGTACATATAGATTGATATGAACAAACTGAAATAGATAGATAGATAGATAGATAGACTGCGATAGAAATATATAAACGATTGTGTTTCTCCATTGGTTATTGATGATACTGAGATGTAAGAAGTTTGCTTAATCCGTTTTTTAGTATTGCACACTGTACTTTTTAAGTGACCACAATATATACATCATGATTTGTATTGGATTGTTGAAGTCGGCTGGGGTTAATTAGTACAGACTCATTTATAACACGTCGCCTTCAAAACGCAATTTCAGTGTATCTGAAAGTTTTAATTTTTTAATTTCTCAATATTTTTTATTGTTCAAAACACATACACACGCGCACACACACACGCACACACTCACACATATATATATATATATATATATATATATATAGGAAAAATTATGGAATTCATAGACAAAAATGATTAGAATTAATACTTAGTTATTCTTTCTCCAGCTTTTATGGCTACCTTAATTATTCCAGACATTTCCCTAATTTAAAGGAATATTCATTATTATTATTAATGGATCTTCTTTGGTGGATGAAACAATCTGATGGACTTTTTTTGTTTTAATTTCCGCCACAAATTTTCAATTGGATTTTGATCCGGTCTATTCGATGAACATGCCATTGATTTTATATCTTTCTTGAAGAAAATCTTTAATCTCTTTTGCTTTAAGAGAAGATACATTATCGACCTGAACCATAGGCAACATCAAGAAACCATTTTCTATCGATGGAATTAGAAAATTATCCAGGATTTCAATGTACACATTTCCATTGATTGTTAACGCAATTATCACCATATTCCCTGATCCTTTACATGACATGAAACTTTATATCATGAATGATTTCAGGGATTGACTTTGTTACTTCAGGCATTCATCTTTATATGTTTTATTCGAACAGCATCAGAAAGAAATTCAGTATTATTGCCTTGGCCAATGCAGATAATTGATTCATATATGAATATCACATTCATTGAATCGTCAACATAACATAGTTGTTTCTCTTCAGTTTTAAACTCATCTGCTGTTGTTTGTGTTTTAATGCTGGTTTTCATCTGGCTTTTCTGTATATAAATCCCATTTCATTCATCAAATTTCTTATATAAGGTCATCCCATAAGTTCTGTCCGAATTATTTTATTTTAAAGTGTTTATATTAGATCTTTAAGAAAATAAACTTTACTAAAATAAACACTTTATTCAAATTACTTGCATGATAAAAACTGACATAGTGCAAGGGCAAGCTCATTTACAATGTAACAGTCAAAACATGAGCAAAAAATAACAACAGCAGAAAATGCAATATATAGATCAAGTGTTAAATTTGAAGGCCAATTGGGAAAAAAATCTACATCGGTTCTATTGAAACGTCGATTTACATGAGGTCATCCTATAAGTTCTGTCCGAATTTTAACTTTTTGTTAAAATGAACGAAATCTAAAGAGTATTTTATAATATCTAATGAAGCTGAACATTATTTTTATGTTTAAATGCATTTAAATTTGATCAAATTTTATTTTTTATGAGAGAACAATAAAATTACATTTTATTTGATTAAACCCTGCTAACATGGAAGTACCCAAGAATCATTTGAGGCACATAATGCATTATGAGTTCAAGAAAGGAAACTCAGCAGCCGAAGCAGCTAGAAATATTCACTCCGTTTATGGAAAGGAATGTGTGAATGAAAGAACTTGCAGAAGATGGTTTGCAAAATTCAGAGGTGGAGATTTCACTCTTGAAGATGAAGATCGAACCGGACGTTCAGTTGAGTTTGATGAAAAGCTTCTTGAAGCAGCCCTTGAAGAAAATCCTGCTTTATCAGTTGAGGAATTGGCAGTGGTTCTCAGTTCAAACCATACAACTTTTCATTGTCATCTTCAACAACTTGGAAAAGTTCCTAAACTTGGAAAATGGGTGCCTCATGAATTGTCTGAAAACAACCTCAAATCCAGAGTTGACATCTGCTCTTCTCTCCATTCTCGCCAATTTGTTTCACCTTTTTTGGATAGACTTGTGACTGGCAACGAAAAATGGATCTTTTATCGAAATGTTAAGCGTCGTAGACAGTGGCTTGGTAAAGGGGAAGGACCCCAGCCACATTCGAGAATGGAACTTCATGGGCAAAAGGTTCTCGTTTCAATCTGGTGGGATCGCCAAGGAATAATCCACTTTGAATTCTTACCACCTAATGCAACAATTAATCCTCAAATATACTGTCAGCAATTAGAGCGTTTGAACCAAGCTTTGAGGAAAAAGAGACCTGCTCTAGTGAATCGAAAAGAGGTGATGTTTCATCAGGACAATGCGCAACCCCACACAGCAAGAATCACGTCACAAAAGATCGAAGAACTTGGTTGGGAGAAAATTCCTCATCCACTTTATTCTCTCGATCTTGCTTCTTCAGACTACCATTTGTTTCGTAGCTTACAGAATCATTTGGAAGAAAGAGCTTTTGTAACACAGGAAGAGGTTAAAACTGACATTTGTGAGTTCTTCGAATCAAAGCCAAAAGAATTTTACAGTAATGGAATTAGTACGCTTGTTAATAGATGGAAGGAAGTCATAGATAATCAGGGAAAATACATTGTTGATTGAATCTGTAATTAAATGTAACATTTGGTCACTTGTCTTTTTTATTCAAAATTCGGACAGAACTTATAGGATGACCTGATAGTTCTGTTACAAACATTGTTTCCTGTTTTGTCCTATTTGTTTGTTTTTTGTTTTATTTCTTTTGTTGTACATCTTCTATTTTCAGAACATATTTCTTTGAGTTCAATCTCCTGACATTTTAATGTCTTTCACGATCTACCAGAATATGGTTTCCTTTTTAACCTTCTCATTTTTCTGTTAACAAAGCTTAGATCCATCTGACTGGTAACAGCCAACGTCTTTCGCTCACTCAAATGTGGTTTGCCTTTCTTGAATGAGTTTTACGATACTTTCAACTATTGTAATTGACAGTTCTTTTTATTGGAGCCTTTCTTTTCTTTCAATTCGGTATGCCCAATAGCTTGTTCATTTCTATAATAACACTTTTTTAACTGTTGACTGGTTTGCATATCTAACTTACAAGATGATTACAGAGTTTTTCGTTACATTTGGTGACTCCATATTTAACTCTCCACTGATGGAGAAAAGGTGTACTATTAATTTAAATAATTTAATCTAGTTTGTTTAAGCTACATTTTATGATTTTTATGAAGCCAGAATTTTCAACTATTAAACTGATTGATTCATCGATTTATTGACTGAGTGATTGGTTTATTTATTATTTTTTTTTACAGCTTAGCAACCATTTGTGGGTTATTTAAAGTCGAAATATAATTTGGATAGCAAGAACAATTACTTTATTTTTGCGAGTGTATATTACATTAACAATCTTCTGAGACCTACAAGTTTATTTCTAGATATTACTATTTAACCCATAGCTTGGGGAACGGATGCATACCTTTCTTAAGAGTACTTGCGCCTAAGTGAATTTAACGAATCCGGCTGGAATTCGAACTCGACCCGCTGATTTTTAATTCTTCACCACTGTCCATTACATCAGCTGCACATCCTTAGCTGTTAAATAAGAATGTTTTCCGTTTTTATCTCTTATTAGTTTATTTACTGCTGAATAAAAATGAACTAAAAGAATATTCTTCAAAGTGTACCACTTCCATAATCTTTACCAGTGGCTGTAGTATAAATAAAATATTCCCGTGTCATTGATGTTAAATAGATATAAATCAATTAGTAAGTACAGATAAATTTATATAAATGAATATAGACAAGTGTCCAATTGAAGGATGCATATTTTTGTAAAAGATTTCTCCGATATTCAGGCCGGTGGATGTAAATAAATAAATATACTGTTTAATAAATAAAGACAGGGCATCTACTCAAATGTGAATATCCATTTAAAAATAACGTTTAAACAAATATATATATATATATATATATATATATATATATATATATATATATATATATAAAAAGAAATAATCAAACATTGAATCAATCAGAAATATTAATTATAATAGTTAGTTTTTGAATTTAAAGGAAAAAAAAATACAGCCTGACGATGAGGACATGATGTCTTTGAAAGTACTTGCTTCTATAAAATAATACACTAGATCCATCTCACAACAATTTTATACATAAGGATTGCATCATTCAGTGGATTCTTAGTAGTTTAATGCTTATATTAAATCTATTAGCGAAAAGATTTCGCCATTAATATTGCTAATTGATTCAATGTATGATTATTTCTTCATGATATAAAATATATGCTGCCTAATATAATACGTTTATATATATATATATATATATATATATATATATATATATATATATATATATATGTATATAGGCTGCAATCCTTCTTTCATGCAGGTTTCATTAAATATGGCAGACAAGGTTCTTTGATTAAGTATTTTTTATATAATTTCTCATGTTATCTTATATGTTTTTCTTTTCAGTAGATAAATCATATAAAAACTGTCCAGATGATGTTTTTTCCAAGCGATTTCGGCTATACAATTAACCATTTTCAAGGTTTCTATTTAACAGTTAATATATTTCAATCATGATAATGGGACCTTGTCTGTCATATTTAATGGAACTTGCATATATATATATATATATATATATATATATATATATATATATATATATATATATGCATGTAAGTCTATCCACACTGATGAGCTGTGATACAGCGAAACAGTCTGTCTGTGGATGACAATATATATGCTCCAGAAAAATCTATTTTGGTTGAGCTCTTTGGGGAGGAAGTGTGAGTTTGTAAACAGTGACTATTACGACTAATAATGCAAGACTCTTCGGTAAAATGAATCGAGTTCTCCCAGTCGTTGTGCATTTATCTAAAAACAAATACGCTTAAATTCACTTTCATCCCTGCTGTGCGCCAACGTCATGGGGGTAGAATCTCCGACTGACGCCAATTAAGCCGAGTTTCGGTTCTTTCTAGAGGCAACCGGGCGTCTAGCCACACTGATGAGCTGTGATACAGCGAAACAGTCTGTCTGTGGATGACAATATATATATATATATATATATATATATATATATA